GTTGTAGAGCACACAACTTTAAAAAAAAATACAACTCTAAAAAAAATATAAAAGAAAAAAATAAATATTAAATTTTATGAGTGTACAACATAAGATAGTTGTCTTATGTGACATAAGACAACTATTTCTCAAGATATAAATATGAATTTTTATAAACAAATGTAATTATAAGTTATAACACTATTATAAAAAGTGATCTGAACCGTTAAAAATATATATTTCTATAACAAAACACTAATTAAGAGTATATAAATTATTAAATAATTATAATAAATAACAATACTTTTCTTTTTTAATATATCAAAACTTGAAACCTTTAATCTAAAATTAATTATTCTCTTTTCTTATTGCCTACCTTTTATGTAATTTTTTTATTCAAATCAACCTAAACATTAATTAAATTTGCACAATTATATATCTTGCTCCTATGAACAGTAAACAAAAGGTAATACCTTATTTTCAAACCCCGAATTGCATGTTTGTGTGAAATTAAAATTTTGAATCAATGAAAATGAAGAAAAAGTATCAAGCAATCAATTATCCTAAAAGTTTAAGTTGTTACATAAAAATTTATAAATAATTTTATATTTTTATATTATAACTTAAACATGTTTCCATTATTAAAAAAATGAGGTGACAAGGATCAAATTTTGAATCATGATCTGATTATTGAGACTCCCATATATCAAGTAATTAGCTAATTGTCCTAAAACCTTAAACTATCTGAATAATTTTATATTATATTTCTGAAAAATAAGTTGGATTATATACTATAACTCGAGGATATTTTAAGCGTATTTTTATCTATAAATTAGAATTTAAGGGAATCTGAATGAAAAAAATTACATGAAATATAATTGATGAAAAAATATTAAAGGGATAAGCAATTTTAAAATAAATCACATGAGGTGTATTTGAAATTTAATAAAAAAAATAATTATTTATTATTTGTGATAACCCCATTTATTTAAAGAGTATGTTAATCATTAGAAAGTTTAACTCTATCTTGATTAAAAGAAAGGGGATTTACTATGAGATTAAGAGGCACAGAGGTGAATTGCACAAACAGCAAAACCGATGATTGCTCCATTGTTGAATATACGTAGTATTGGATTGTGGGTAGACTTTCTATTTGTAATTTGATAGTCCATCGTCAAGGTAACATGGGATCAGTCTTCTAAGCACCTTTAACTAATCAATAAAAGCGAAAGGGAGAGCCAAATCCATTTAAATTTTGAAATTCAATGTAGTGGTTGCTGTTGGAACTTGAAGCAAAGTTATTTTGGGAATTGAGTAGGTCAACGTGCATGATGTTACCCCAGTCCACTGGTGCATTTCATGTATAGCAAAAAAAATGTTATAAAAAAGAAGCATTTTTTTAATCTCTTCAATTAGTTCATCTTTCGTACTAGTCTGATTCGAGTACTATTAGATCTCATCAGAAGACGATTCTCCCGTGATTATTTTTTCAATACCCAAAATTCGAATACAAAACTACTGGTTAAAGGACATAAAACACTTTATTACTTATGTCAATCGGTGTTTGGTGTAAAAAAAAAAAGCTTTTTCTTAAGTATTACTATCTGTTTTATCACATTCACATGGTTGACTTCGCTCCACCGGTCCCCCCAACCCCAATTTTAAGTAACGTGGCGTCTTGGACTTGGCTCCAACTATCATATCATTGGTCATTTTAATTTGCACCAAACCCCAAAGATATTTATTTGGTTAAAATGTATTTTGAGGCTTTGAACTTTATAGTATAGAAAATTCACCCTTAATGCAGTCCTAATTGTTGAGAGTAATATAATCTAGCATTGTATTTTTTTTTTTTTACTGTTAGACAGACCGTTGTTTAATACTTGCTCAATTTTTCTAAAACTCTTAAGTTATTAATGATTATTAAAATTTAATTTTTTTCATACTATTGCTTGCACTTTCAAAATAATAATTTTATTTTTTTCCATTATTTTTTTATTTTTGTCTGTTAGTCGATTATTTAATTAAATCAATTCAAGTATTAGGAGATGGACCGATATATGAAACAATTCCCCCAAATCATTTTTTTCATTCTCTAGATTCAAACTTAAGACTTTATATTAACTTTTCCAATTTTATGTTAAATTTTTTATTTTCTAAAAAATTCAAATACATGTATCTTTAAATTATTCTTGTTTAAATTTTCTCTTTTCGTTTATTCACTCCAAATTTCAATTGCTTCACCCTTTTCAACACACCTTTTATTATTGAATGTATTTTATATGAATCTTATTAAATAAAGAGTAAGTCCAAGTGATTTAGTGAAATCCCAGTTAATAAATGATGAGTTGAAAAGAGTGTGACGAATAATTTGTTGCTAGTATACATCATATTAAGAGTCTGTTGAATTTTTTTTTATGTTAAAAGTTGTTTTTAAATTAAAGTTAATAAAAAGTTTAAAAAATAAAATAAAAAATAATTTGGTGATTATATAAAATTATTTTCAGGATTTTGGAAGTGGGAGACAAAATAAATTTTTATTTGAATAAATTGGAAAATGTATAAATACAAGTTCAAAATAAGGATGAAATTTAAAAACAAATAAAAACTCCTAAAAGTTAACATACATCTTAAAAAAAATTCCTTTTGAAAGCTTTTAATTTTTTATATTTTTTCATTATAAAAAAGCTCTTTTTACAATAAAAGTTTTTGGAAAAATATATTTGGTCAAGCTTCTCCTCATAAAAAGAAGAGAAGTTAAAGAAAATTCATCCAAACAAATACTAAATTAGAGCACATTATTATTTTATTTTTTTGGTATGGCAGAGCACATTATTTTGAAAGTAAGCATAATTTTAATCCACTCTTACTCTCCTTTAAAGAATGATATATGCCATTTTTAATTTCTCAATTTCTAAATTTTAATTTTAAATTCTTTCAAATTAATTATGTTTAATTTTTTATTTGTAATTTTAAATTAAACCTAGATTAGTTATATATTTCTTATAATTTCAAATATATTTAATTATAATAGTTTAAAAGACTAGGAGCCTTCCGAGTAGAAAGAAGAAAATTTCAAAAGCAACAACATATAAAGAAAAATAAGGATTTACAATCCCGATATGCTATAACCTGACTTGGAATTCCGATTAACAGTAAAATCAGTATTGCGTTCAATCTTTTTTTTGTTTTTTCCTCTTCATTTCTACATGCCAGTCCATATTATCTTGTATGTACTTTAATTAATCTAGTTATTCATTCTAATAAAAGACAAGTTATTTACGTCAATCAATATAATTAAGATTTAAATCTGTAATTACAATCCTATACATTATATGCTCTCATTTGCCGCTAAACTAATCCCTTAGAATGAATGTTATTTGATACTTGTTGAAAAAAAAGCCCGTTTGCAAGTATGAAGTATGTGCACATTAGTTGTGACAAATAATAGACATAAATGAAATTTTATATATTTTAGATGTCTGATCAATCGGGCTGGCCTGAGATACATCAGAACAGCACATTTTTTGGGCTTGGTTGTGTTTGAATTTGAAACTGTAAAACATTCCATAAAATGGTCTTATAGAGCCCAAAAATGCAACAGGCCTACTTTTATTTTTATTTCGTTTTCCGTATTTTTTGTTTTGTCTAGTTCTTCTTCTTTTTTAAATGGTTGAAAGTGTACTACGATATACTTATAAAAAAATGTACTACGATATACTTAGATTTTTTGTGTGTGGGTACAATAGTTAGATATTTGTAATCTTATAACTTTATGCTTCAATAAAATAAAACATACTTTTTTAGTTTTGGAATGTACGTAAATTTTTTCTTATAGTTCATATGCTCCGAATTTTTTTCCTCCAAAAGTATATTTCTTTTTACAAAAAAGTTTTTGCAGCTATAGATGAATATTTAGATGTCATCTTTAAAAAAAAGTCAAAAAAAAATTAAGCTAAGATTTTTTTTTTTTTTTTTAAAGTCAAAATTTAAATATTTTTTTCAAAATTTAAATTTGCCTAAACTCCAATCTCAACCAACCATATCATATATGCTGCCAACACCAACGTTGTCATTGCCGCTACCACCATCATCTTCGCCACTATCAAATTATGCTTCTATGATTTGTTTTTACACATTTTACATAGTAATTATAATTTAAGAGGAATGTTATACTTACAATCTTCTTTTTTTACAACCTCTTACAATCATATCTTAACATCGTTGATTTTTGTCAATTAACGGTTATCATTTATTGTGAATTAATAATTAATTAATGAGTTTAATTTGTGAAAATGATAACCGTTGATTGGCGAAAATCAACGGTGTTAAGATATGGTTGTAAGAGGTTGTAAAAAAAAAAGTTGTAAGTATAACCTTCCTCATAATTTAATACATAAAAAGTACTTTTTAATTTTCATATTCCAATATATTTTTTTTGTTTTTAAGAGATTTTTCCACTTATTTAGATGAGACTAATCCCCTTTATAGCATAACACGTGTTAGTTAAAAGTATTTTTCACATGTTACTTCCAAATACAAATTTTTGGAAAACATCTTTATTAAAAAACAAGACGTAAAAAATTATTTTTTCAAAGCTCATTCAATTGGCTCTTAAGACCCATTTTAGAAGTTAAAAAAAAAAATTGTTAAGCTTATCCAATAGCATCGATTAAAGTGCATGCATTTCAATTGTTTCTTCGGGAACCTCGATTGAAATTGGAACTAACCCATGTGTTTCAAATTACCAACTAACATCTATAGTAGGTAAATTATTTTTGTGGTTGAGTGTAAGAATCTGAATTTAAATCTACAGTTATTCAACTTACTTCTATGACAGAAAAAATAAAAATAAAAAAATTATTGATTTCTTGCAAGTATAATACCAATAGGTTGTTTAGCTTTGATTTTTTTAAGGTTAGGCGGAGAATATTGTTTGGTTATTGGATAACATAAAATTTAAGGCATAACAAAAAGTGTGATGAAGAGGATGAGACCGTGGAAGGATGAGGAATTCGCTACCCACCACTCATCCAAGATAAAATTTCATATCAACAGCTTCATCTTTATGTTTCCGTGATATTGTTCCCACAACAGAGAAAAGAGATAGAGAAACACAACTCTCTAACATCTGAAACATTCAAATGGCACTCAGGTTGTGGGCTTCTTCAACTGCCAATGCACTCAAAATCTCTTCCACCTCCAGACCTCATCTCTCTCCTCCTTTTTCTCTCTTCAGATGCTTCTCTACCGGTATTTATATTTATTATCTCATCTTTCTTCACATTTCACCTTTCATTTGAATGAGGAAACAAAGGCCCAATTCACTTGAGTTGCTCACTTTTTTTTTTCTTATTATTATTATTATTATTTAATTCTCAGTGTTGGATGGACTCAAGTATGCATCTTCACATGAATGGGTCAAGCATGAAGGCTCAGTGGCCACAATTGGTATCACTGATCATGCCCAGGTTGGCTGCTAACCCATTACATGATTCTTATCTTTTTTTATTATCTGTATTGAAGTGACAAATCATAGTGTGTGACATTCCTTTTAATAACGCCAAGGTTAGTAGAAGTACAACCAATCAAATACTTGTTTAGTAGTGTTTGCTTATTGTTGAATATCAAGAACAAAGAAATTTACAAGTAATCTCGTGTGTTTCAACTACACAGCGGAGAGTCTATTATATAACTTAAAAGAAAGAACATACAAAGAGATATACATGATGTGGGACTTCTATACTACTATTCTAAACTATCATTTACAACACTTATGTTGGTGGCTATAATTTTATTCTTTAAAATTTTAATGGGAAACTAATGCATGTGTTTGTGTATGTGTCTACATGTATATATGTGTATTTTTAGTAAAACTAAATTAAAGTTAGCATATATGTGAAGGCTGAAGCTGTGTAATTGCACTTGTTGCAGGACCATCTTGGAGAGGTTGTGTTTGTGGATCTGCCAGAACCCGGTGGCTCAGCCACCAAGGAAAACAGCTTCGGAGCAGTTGAAAGTGTTAAGGCAACAAGTGATGTAAACTCTCCAATATCGGGGGAGATCATTGAGGTTAACAAAAAGCTCACTGAAACGCCTGGCCTGGTAATTAATTAAATAAATAAAATTCAACTTGTATGAGATTACTTTTGGAAATTCAACTCTGAGTGATGAGTAATGAAGTCCCCTAATGTCATAACAATTGCTTATACATAGCTGTTTATTTTGATATTGATTTGAATTATACTGTTAATGTCTTGTTTTCTAATTGGCAGTTTATACATACTCATAATTTTTTATTTTTTATTTTAACTTTTCTTACTTTAAGATCAACACAAGCCCATACGAAGATGGATGGATGATCAAAGTAAAGCCAAGTAGTCCATCCGAGTTAGATTCCTTGATGGGTTCAAAGGAGTACACAAAATTTTGTGAGGAAGAAGATGCTGCACATTAAAGTTTGAATTTGCTCCTGCAAGTTATGTGGGACTGACTGTTTTCCAGATGTTTATGATCTTATTATCTTTAGAACAGTTTTTTCAACTGCAATAGAACTGCTTCTTTCCATTTTTCTTTCCCTGTTATTGTCACTTATGTTATGACACTCTTGTGTGTCTACTCTTCATGTGATTAAAAAGCTGTTCTCTCTTTTCACTTCCATTCATTATTATTTTCACTTGGTTGTCCTTGTCCGCAGTCAGTAGCTCTAAACTGAGGTCCTTTAAATATTTCACTTTGAAGGCTTGTTTGAAAGCAGTAGTTGAAAACTAACAGTGTTTTCAATTGCATGGGACATTTTTTCTTTTGAAATTTAATAACTCGGTTTCTTGACAGGAATTTATTTGAATAATAAACCAGAATAGGCAAACTCTTATCTAATCAAAATTCAATATAAAAATGCACTACCAAGTACCAACAAACAGATTTCTTTTTTTCTTTTTTTTTTTCCTATGAATGACATGAAATTTATTCAAATATTATTTACTAGAATAGATAACAAGGTTTGAAAAATACAAGATTGCTAGGTGTATCTTGCCCTTGCTCAATTACAAGAGGCTAATTAATCTCATGATTTAGGTAGCTTTTATAATTCTTGCAAGACAGTTGTCAGAAGGCCTTGGAACTGGTAGGTAAGTCACTGGACACTCTGGATTAATTCTCTCCATCCTACACCGTTAAAATGTATAATAAAACCAATCAGCATATTGAAAACCAATCAGATTGAAACAGCATTCTACTCCTTCACTTCAATAAGTCTCAACGGTTGCAATATGAAAATAAGTTTATTAACCTGTAGTTAAGAAGAAAATGATGAAGGAAAATGGTGATCTCAAGCTTGGCCAGGTCGCTTCCGGGACAAAACCTGCTTCCTAATCCAAATGGAAGGAAAGACCCTGCTCTGGCTTTGTAATTCTGCACCACATTTTTAACACATAACATGTTACATCTTTTGTTCATTAAATTAAATTCATGCATACATTGTTAAAGGAATAGGTAAGAAAAAAAAAATCAATATTAATTATCGTACATACTTCCCATCTAGAAGGGTCGTATTCCTTTGGGTTGACGTAAGTTTCAGGATCCATGTGAACACCTCTGTTCCAAACCAAAACTTTCCATCCTTTTGGTATAGTATAACCTGCAATTTTTCAACTTTTTTGACTTTAAATGCCAAGGGGTTGTAAACTTGTAATGAACATAAAACATCAACTGCAAGGAAGCACTGAAAATATATGGGATTGAATAACTAACCATTGATGTTGACATCGACTTTTGCCTGTCTAAAGTTCGCAAACGAGATACTTGTTCTGCGCAGCGTCTCATCAATAACCTGAACCGTAGAAATTAGAATGCATCAATTTTTTTATTTTTTTTTGGGTACATTGAATACATCATTTTTCACACAACTTGGATTTTGTTAAGTTTATTTTTTTTCCTTAAAACTATTTTATAGAATAGATATAAAAATAGAAAATATTATATTTATAAATTTTTTGTTTACGAACTTTAACTATGTACTATGAATAGTATATTTTTGAGTTCATGTATTACCCATGATATATAGTTAAGTTTGTAAATATAACACTCCAAATAGAAATAAGCAATGTTATTAAAATCGACCCGGTCATTGACCCAGTCAAAATACTGGTCACTGGTTGAATCGCATAACCCGATAATTATATACAATTCTATAATTTATATTAAAAAATTATAAATATACTCAAATATCTAAAAAAAATGATAATTTTTTTAAATATTTTAATATAAAAATAATAAATCACTCAGTATTATCCAATAAAGGATCAAACAAAAATATAATGATTGTAATACGTGGCTTCAAGTTCAGAAATCAATATATCTAGCTATAAATCAAATCAAAATTTTATGCATAGTGCATAATTGAGATAATATTAATGTTGTAGGTACATAACTTATGTAAGTAAATACGCAAAAAATACTCAAATATGTCTATTATGATTTAATTTTTTGAAGAAAAAAAATCTGGATTTTTTTTTTGAGACAAAGCCGGGTCACCGATTTTCACGAAAACTGGTCAGGTCGCACCGGTTCTGATGCATGGTCAATCCGTTGCTTCATCCATACCGATTATATGACCTATTTATCGATTTCAGGGTCGACCCGGTCCGATTTCATTAGCATTAAATGTTTTTTTTTTGTTTTGAAAGTTAGAAAGTGAAAACACAGAACAAAAACAATTGAGATATGTTTTCTAATTTTGATTCTAAAAATTAAAAAAAAAATTATAATTTTTAGAACTATTTTTACAAAACAAGCCTTATCAATTAAAGTTTTTTATATTTTAATGTTTTTTCTGAAAATCAATATATAGTAAAACTTAACACAATACCATTAACTGAAAATAAAGAATTCATAAATAACATATATACCTTTGAAAGATATTCCATTTGCTTAATTTCCTTGAGGTTCAGCCCTTTCTGCGTGGAAGGTCTCCTTTCCATGATTTGTTCTTGTTCTTTCTGAAACGTGCATAATTTTGTTTTGTGTAAATAATATTGAAAATGCAAACACATATGGATCTATTCCCATAAACAATGGGTAGATAATATTAAACCTTGGCCTTATGGAGGACATATGGGTGTTCCATGAGGTAGATGATGGTCCACAATATTCCATGAGCAGAGCTTTCATGACCAGCTAACAAGAATACCAGAAGCAGGTCTATGATGTCTTCATCCTGCAGCTTCCAACCCACTTCATCTTTGACTTCCATCAATAAATCCATCATATCTTTCCTCATCTTTGTCTCTCTATTATTGTTCCTCCTCTTTCGGTCCACCAGGGCTTGAAGCAGCTTCATCAACTTCTTTCGTGCCTGAATACACAAGCTTAAATATATTAAATAATTAAATTTATATCATCAATGACACACAAGCATCTAGTACCGGATATATTTAACATAAAAAGAATTGCGTTTTCTTCTTCATATTTGATAGCTTCAATATAATAAAGTTGTTTAATATTTTGTGGTCTTTATGAAAGGTGGCATGGTGTGACATTGACAATTACCCATCTCTACCCTCACGGAAGGTGCTGTGTGTGCACAAGAAATTAACCTTGTTCCGTTTTCTAATTAAGGTTCTAGTTTATTTACAAATTTTTATGATGAACCTTAGTTAATAATACGCATTATATCACCACAATCCAAGTATATAATTCAAAGATTATATATATATATATGATTAAACATTTCTACCGTCACTTTAGATAAGGTTGTCTACGGCTACTTTTTTAACTAAGTCTGGCCACATAGTTAATTATAACAATAAAGCTGTTGTTTTTCTCTCTCTATATATATGAAAATGATCTGTTTATAATTTTTTTTTTTACAAACTTACAAAATACATTATGTTTACCGGTATCGGTAATACTCTACTCGAGAGTGTATTATCAGCCAGACATATCGTAGTTTCTAAGAGTTTATAAACAAAAAATTTGTAAATATAACCTTCCCCGTGTATATATATATATATATATTAATTCACCTTGAGTGCTTTGTGGAATGCAAAGCCAGGGAGATTGATGGCAAGAGACTTCATTCCTCGATTCAAGTGGGTGTACAAGTTCTCGACCAAGCCAAGGTCAACGTGATCATAGTCAGAGCCGACAAAAATGGTGGTGATGACAGCAAAAGCGAACTTCCTCATTTCTGTGAGGAATTCACATGGCATGTTCATGCTAGACAACTCATCCAAAAGTTTCACAGCAATCCCTTCAATAAGACCAATATACATAGACAATGCCTCGTGGCCAGTTATGGGAGAGGTTGTGAGGCGGCGCAGACGCTTGTGCTCCTCATTTGAGATTCCATGGAATGATCTTTTTCCTGTGAGGGCCATGGTGGAAGCAGGGTATCCAAGCTTGAATTGTTCCTCATCTGTGAGAACCTTCCTACACGTTTCTGGGCTGCAAACTATGATGCTTGGGCTCCCAAACAAGTAGGTCCTATACATGCCTGTCCTGCCATATCTATATAAATAAAAAACATAATGTCACACCAAAGTCCTAACCCAAAATTAATCATTTTAAAAGTTATTAGTGTATGTACCTGGAAACAAGGTCATAGATGAAGGAATCAGGGTCAGACTTGAAAGCTTTGAGGAAGGTGTGCATGTTGCCGAGGAAAGGCCAACCTAGATCACCAGGTGGGAGAGGGTATTGTGTCTTTCCTACCCTGCCAACATAGTACCACTCATTCACCCTCCTAAGGATCCCAAACACAAATGCATATCCTCCCAACAAAGATGCTACTACGATGAACCACAAGGAATCTAGTAACACCATTTTTTAGTTTATGCTGTTTATTTACAATCTCTCTCTCTCAATCTCATAAACCCCTTTGGTTAGATCTCTTTATTGGACTCTAACTGATTACCCTCCTGCCCAAGATTTAGGGGGTATTTAATAGCGCCAAGCGGTCACCGTCCGTACTTCCTTTTTGCATGTTGAAAATTATGTATATATATATATATATATATATATATATATATATATATACATCGCTTATCGTTTCTCAAGCTACTTGAGATAATTTTATTTTCGGCTACTAAATCATAACTGTACAAAGATGGATCATTTACAGAAGACAGAGAAAAAAGAAATCATAACTATTCAAAGGTGAATCAATTAATATAAGAAAATAAATAAATAAAATGATGTAATTTTTGAGTAACCGAAAACATATTTTTCCCATATATATATATATATATATATATATATATATATATATATATATATATATATAAGTTATCGTTTCTCAAGTTACTTAATTAATATAAATAAATAAATAAACAAAACGACGTAATTTTTGGATAGACGGAGATAAATATATCTTAAGCTGCTTGATAAATATTTTTCTTATATATATATATATATATATATATATATATATATATATGTATATATATATTAATTTTCCCAACCAGTTGCTCAATCAGTCCACTAATTAATTCAGTTGACTTAGAGGGGATTCTAAGGTGATTAAACTTTTCCTACCAAAGTTTTAATGCGATTGTATAATGAAGACTCAAACTCAAAATCACTAATTTAGTGAAACCAGTTGATCTATTAGTTGATGGTAAATTAATATACTCTTACTCTTTTGCATTGTGATTTGTCATTAATATTTTACTAGTCACCGCTATTTAATGTCACAGTAGATTAACAACTGGGCTTAATTAGTTTTATGTGATTGCTTGAAGTGAAAATTTAAGCAGAGATATTAGTTTTAGGTTGGTACACAACTCTATAATTATTGTTTCATTGCTTATTAATTAATTAACTGCGTTACATAACGAAATCAATCTCCTTCTGTATTATGAATTACTGGACACTTTGAACAAGTAACCGTCAAACGATAGTTTTGATTACAAATGTAACATAACTGTTGAAATTCATAGTTGATGGACTTTGACGAATTCTTATTATAGAGCTTGATGAGCCTATTACTTTTTTTTTTTTTTAATCTGTATATTGGGTTTTCCCATTTGAGTAGCGTAATGCCTAAATGTGTTTGCTAGGTGGCAACAGGTTGGTTGATATGACGTTGCATTTCGCAAATTCAGTAGCATCGTCGAAATGATCTTTACATGGTAACCGATTCGAAGTGCACAATAAGTTTAGTTTACTTAAATGGATAAAATCTCGACTTTGAGACGGTTCAGATTTTGGCTGACCAATAAATTATTAATTTCCAATGTGTTTTTCCTCGCTTCTAAGTTCTTTATGTTTAAAATGTGTCTGTGCTGAATAAGAAGGGTTGAGAAGTATTTTACCCACTTCTACTTCAGATTTCGGACCTAGTAGTAGTTGAGCAACGAAGATCTACAACAAGCACACAAAGATGAATAATCTTCGCATAGCTAAATTTCTGGTCCAAAAATAAATTCGTTTAAGAAAAAGAGAAGGCGCGCGCAGGAGACATACTTTGAATAACTTCAATTTATTATATTTAATTATTTTTTAATAGGATGACTTGACCACATAAACTCTAATATCATATAAAATTTAAGTCTAATTTAATATTATATTTTTTCATCATATATCTATGATTCTGAATTACCTGGTGCAGTAGTATTACATATTGTTCAAACTCAAATTAAATCAAGTATTTAATTATGGGGAGGGTTATATTTATAAATTTTTTGTTTATAAATTCTTACAAACTACACTCTGTATTCTCGGAGTACACTAGGTTACACTATGTACTATACTTCCGGGAGTATATAGTATAATTTGCAAAAATTTATAAAAAAAAATTCTAAAGGGATCTTTCTCCTTTAATTATATATCTTGTAAAACTTGTCTAACTCTCCCAAGAGCTTGACCTCGTTACTCCGCTCGTTTAATGTTTCCTGCTTACAGTTTAATTGGTTGATTAAATCATACAATACAAGAGACCGAGTTAAACAGATACTCATTCAAAATAATAATAATAATAAATGGAGACAATGGTTTAATCTTTTTGTTTATTATCCATGGTAGGTTAAGTAAACATGTATGTGGCTAGCTCTTGTGGAAGTGCTATTAGTATATATATATATATATATATATATATATATATATATATATATATATATATATATATATATATATATATATATATATATATATATATATATATATATATATATATATATATGAAAAATATTTCTCTGGCAACTTCAAAACTACGTCGTTTTGTTTATTTATTTCTTTATATTAATTGATTTTCCTTTGAATGCTTATGATTCTCTTTTTCTCTCTTTTCCTTTATCACTATTGATCCATCTTTGTATAGTTATAATTTAGTAGACAGAAATAAAATTATCTCAAACAGTTTGAGAAACGATAAGCTATATATATATATATATATATATATATATATATATATAAATCATATTTTTCTTAATTTAATGTGTTACTTTGCTGTTGGAAGCTTGTTACTTTCTTCTCCTAAGATTTATCTTGTTCATACATAGTATTTGTATTTTTCTTCCGTTAATATAAGTCACGTAGGAGAGACTCGATCGTACATGTGCACAAATTACGGATTTTGTTTTTGGTCTTGTAAGTTGTAAGACTTCAAAATTGTTTTGTTTTGTTTTTATTTATTTATTTATTTATTTTATGTTGCACATTCTTAATATATTTCTATCCTGCTAAAAAATAGATTAATAAAGTTGTAAAGCTAAAATACGAAATAAATTTGAGGACTATTGATTATGTTGGAATGCTGTTTGAAGCCTGCGTTATTTTAAGTTCTTTATTAGAATGCCTAGCATTATACATTTTAAAAGAGAAGGAAATAGATATATCCAAAAAAAAGGAAATAGATTAACCCGTGATTTGATTGACTAAAATTGCCGTACCTCGTGGCTTAGTTGAATTTGAATTGGGGAAGTACTTTAGCACATTTATAATTTGTACTTTCTAGATGGATTGGAAGGAAATGTATGAGAAAGTTCATAGAAATGTTTTTTATTCCTTTATTTTTAGTTAGGAAATAAATGCTTAGAAATGGTATGTGATAGAATTGATTTGTTTTTTTATTCCAAAGAATGAATTAGTTCGGGGAATATAACTAGCAGAAATAAAAAATAATTTTTTCCTCATACACTATTCATTAAATAATATAGAATGTGTTATCAACATTTTTTTTTGTATAAACATTAAATACACACCATTTGTTAAATATATTATCTTTTTTGGGTATAGAATTAAGTTAAATTATTAAATATTTTTTCCCAAATTTTTTTCTAAGCACATAAATAGAAAAAATATATTTTCTGAAATAAGTGCGAGAGAACAAAATTATTGTAATGCACACTTTAAGTCTCCGATAATGAGTTCCACAATAATAATAGTAATAATAATAATAATAATAATAATAATAATTTCAATATGAAACATTAAAATCAGTCTAAGCTTCAGAATAAAAAAAAAATTGTCTAAGGCACGCTGTTGACTTCCATCGACAATTTTTTGGTCTTATTTTATTTTTACTTCTATTTTAAGTTTCACAGCATGTGATTTAGTTATATGTAAAAACATATTGTGCATATCATAAGTCAAATGGAAGGGCGGTGCATAAGTCTAAATGCGTACGAGGAATATTTATGTGACGTGACGACGTGATAAAATTATGTGAAATATTTATACTTATCTTTTATTTAAATATTAAATAAAAGGCATGTCATTAACATTTACAAAAATTATGAAAACAAATAAAACATAAAGGAAAAAGTGTGTATCACTTTAAATGATGTAAAATTGTGTTATTTTAAGTAAGAGAAAGAGATAAATAAAGAGAGAGTCAGAGTGGATAAAAAAATAAATGTGTGAATCTCACCTCTTTGTAAAAGTGGAATAACACAAATTATATCTTTTAAAAAGACAAATACTTTTTCCAAAGATAAAATTTTCTCCTAATCTTTTTATATAGAAGTGTGAATGTATATATGTTGGTGGAATTTTTTCGGTACCTTTCACATTTTAAAGATATCAGTATAAATAATGACTAATGCTATCTTACTTATCTAAAACAAAAAGTTTTTATAGTTATATTTTAAATAAGTAACAAGAGAAATATTATATTTACAACTTATTTTTGTTTATAACATCTTATAATCATATCTTAATCGTTGATTTTTTGTCAATTAACAATTATTATTTATTGTGAATTAATAATTAATTAATAATTTTAGTTTACGAAAATTATAATCGTTAATCAATAAAAATTAACTATTAAGATATATTTATAAGAAGTTATAAATAAAAATAGATTGTAGGTATAAACTTCTTTAAAAAACAAATGTGGCTATATCATGATTAGTTGATTACTAACTAGTAACATATTTGATTAAAAAGCAATGTTCCAGAAAAACCTCCATAAATTGAATGTAATATATATATCGTTTCGATATATATATTCTGGACTTGAAGGTTTTTGAATTGAACTGTAACCTTAAATTGAGGTGCCGTATTAATGTATCTGTATCAGTGTATGTACTTTAATTTGGATTTCGCTTTACCAATTTGTACGTATCCGCCGAACAACTTTTATAGTTTTATTGCGTTTCCGTGCTTCCAAAGCGATTTAAGTAAAATCGGCCAAGAAAACCGCAAGTCAAATTGAAGCGTTGAATTCTTATCTTCTTTGTGACGTCCACCGTAACTATTTCGATTTTTCATGTCCACGTCATCATCAATTGAAATGGCTAATTTGTTCTGGTTTTGAACGCATTCAATGCGAGAATTTTCTTATATTTCTGCTTTCAATCTTAATCCTTTTTTATATTTTTTTTAATCCTTTTATTGGGAATTAAAAATTAATTAATGAGTGAGACCTAATAAATCTTAACCGTTAGATGCAGAAAATCAATGGTTAAGATTTAGTGTAAGACTTATTATTCTTACACCGGTGTAAGATGATCTTGCCCCATATATATATATATATTTTAAGATTGTTATATAAGAATTTAAAAAATAAGTTCTCACTTCATTAAAATATTCAAAATATTATCAACAGATTTTATTGATTGTCTCTCTTACTTAATAATAATATTAAGGATAAAGTTAAACAAATAATTCACTTTGTTGATTTTGAAAGAGACAAAAAAAAAAGATATTAGCTAAGTAAACTGATAATTATAAGGATTTGGAATCAAATTTCACTTTCACATATCTCCTTTTTTTGGTGTGTACGAGAAAAAAATATATTTATCATTTGAAATTCATAAGGTTTTGTAGATCATTTTTTTTTTAATGAGAAACTATTTTCTAAAAGGAGGACACGTGAAAAATAAATCAGGAAGAATTACGAATTGCCCTATAATATTTTATTATTATTATTATTATTTTGGTAAACTGAGGGGGAATATTCACAACACAAAATAAAATTACACAATATAAATAATCTGAGATCTACAAACAGACGCTAGATCAGCATTATACAAGAACTCAACATCAAGGGGAGAGGAATTGAACCTGCACATGTCAGAACCATCAGAATTATGTATGAGATAGTTTGCCAACCAGTCTAGAGTATTGTTGCCTTCTCTATATGTATGCCTCAAATGAACTATCTATTCCTTTGCTATCCATGCCCTCTGACGTTTTAATCACTATAGTCTATATGATAAGAACTTTTATAAAATTATGATTAATCACTATTATAACTTTTATAAAATTATAATTAATTAAGCTTTTTGCTTTTAAGGAGATAAAAAAACTAAAAATAAAACATGCCAAAAAGACACTTACTCTTCTTCTTTTTTTCTTTAATAGGTCTCACTCATTTTTTTATGTGTTCATGAGATTTATCCCATGAGATTTATCTGTATGTGGTAGGTTATATTTACAAAAATTTGTTTATAAACTACACTGTGTACTATGGGTAGTACATACTCAAGTAGTATGTATTACACGTAATATATAGTGTAGTTTGTAAACAAAAAATTTGTAAATATAACCCTACTATATATATATATATATATATATATATATATATATATATATATATATAAGTTTTATGATTCTCATATTATAGGATATAAAAATGGGGAAGATTATATTTACAAATTACACTATGTCTGACCAGTCATACTTCAATCAAGAGTGTATGACTGGTCAGACTTAGTGTAATTTGCAAAAATTTGTAAAAAAATTTGTAAACAGATCCTTCCCTGTAAATTATCTCTTCTTCTCACATAAAAATATGTGGGATCTATGGTTACCCTTTCTTTCTCTTCTTCTCACATGACCCATTATACTTTTATGTATACGTAGGAAATAATTTTATCTCCTATACGCACATAAAAATCTGTGGGGCTCATACGGAACCATGAGAAGAGAAGACAGAGAAAAAGAAAACATGAGTCTCATACATTTTTATGTGTTTGAAATAAAACTACCTCTTATAACATAAGAAATATCAATGTTACATGCATGTGTGTGTAAAGTAGAGTTAAACTTAGACATGGACTTAATGAGGCCATTTTCCATATGGACTTTCTTATATTTTATCCGGTTCACTTATTTTCACAAAATAAGTTCATAATTAATAATGACCCTAAAATAATTAATTATTGGGTTTGTTTTTTCTAATGTTATTTTAAAAAAAATTGTCTAATGTTCATCGAAACAACGTCATTTTGAGGCAGAAATCATTATGTGTTTGTAATTTTAATTTATTCTAAGGTTATAATAGTCTTTATATCATTATAATTTTTTAATCTTTCAATCCCAAAACGACATTTTTCGATGGACATTAGACAAAATTTTCTAAAGTAACACTTTATTCCCTTAATCATAATGCACATTCTTAATAAAAATTTCCAATTAGAAATGGTGTGGAGATTGCTTCACAAGGTTGGTTGAATCAAGAACCGGACTACTAACTGATCTGATTCAGTCAATTAACCAATCATATATGTAATTCAGTCTTTAACCAGTGAACCGACCATTAATCGGGTTCAACTAGTGCTAATCTGATACCAAATTTCTCGTTCAATCAATTATTGAAAAGTATGACAAAATATTCGACTACCTAGCATCCAAGGAAAGGAAACTGAAATGTTAACCACTAACCCATGTTACTTTGGTGGTCAAATTACTTATATTTATATATTTATTATGATATACGATCATTTGACACTTCATATGAGAGGACTTTAATTTATAAGCATATGACACCGTTGATTTACCTAGATCTAACAGCCCTCAGATGAGATGTCAAACTTTTTATTTGACATAAGTGTCAAAGAATCTTACCCCAATTATTATATATTTTTACATAAATTTAATTTAACCAGTTCAATTAATGACCCATTGATTTCCTATTCTGACACAGAGTCAATGACCGGTCTGAATTTAATAAAATTGGAGATAACAACTTGCACAATAAATTTGTGCAAACTAAACTCAAATATTTTGCAATTTATTCTTTATTTTTGTCCCGTAATGAAGGGAAAGATCAAACCTGATGTAAATTCCACATTTGTTATATTCAGAAACCTGCATTCCTCATGTTATTACGTATTCTGATAATACTACATTCAGTCTAATTAAAATATATAATAACATGTAAACTGCGAAGCATGCACACCGTTGAATTTAATTGAAAATATTATTTAGTATTTAAAATCAAATATTGAGAATATTTGAAAATTTAATTTTCACCATAGACTATACTCCGTGCGTAGTCCTGGCGACTGAATTAACAACGCGTGAATAGCACAGACCCAGTCATGCTATTCATAACTTGAAAGCTCTTTAGAAATATACAGAATAGATTGATTTGTTGCAAGATCAAAATATACCACAAAGCAAACAAGTCTTAAGACTTCTAGTAATACTTCAAAATAACCTATTAATGAGGGACCACCGGCAGAATTTGAATTCAAAAACTATTTATCAATGCTATTATATCCTTCTAATTCTAGTTAAGCCAACCCTCACTAGCAGAACTTTTTGAAACCTCTCAATTGTACAATGAACACAAGATTTTAGTATTATTTTAACACATGAGAATAATAAGATTCTCCATTTTGAACTTTCCATGAACGAACATAAAACAGAGATAAAACTGTTTGTCATTTTTACAACATATAAACCAAACATACGACGAGTAAAAGTATCTTACATGTAGTTGCAGGATAGCTGATCCAGTTTAACCAGGGAAGTCATAACATTAGCGCAGCGGAAATTCAACCACAACAAAGGCCAGGCCAAGAGTGCCACATATATTATTAACACTTATAGAGTCTAGACTCCCATTGTAATTGATCAGAATTTGACATCGGGAGATTCAGCATATGAAATTGAAATCAGTTCAGACCTAAACTTGTCATCCCAATCACCGTTTGCTATTGCAAACTCATCTGCTTTCTTGCTTTCAGGCACAAGATTTGAATCCAGAATCTTATCTGGTAAAGAGTTAGAGATAGCAATTAGCAACTCACGTGCCACCTCCTTAGATGCCTTCTTGCTTGGTGATTTGCTATCCATATAACTTTCTGTTGTTTCCTACAAGTCAAACCCAAAATTAATTTGAATATTTCCAATACAGATACATAATAGCATGTGTTTCACTTCTTCCCACCCAATTACTATCAGTATCATCATCAATCCTTTTTTAAATGTCTATTTGTATGCATTGCTGGAGAACCCCAGTTCATATATATGCATATATAGATATATAGAGACAGGTTATACTTACAATATCTTTTTCTTTATAACCATTTTATTATAATTAGATCAAAACCAAATCAATGGCTTTTAGTTGATGTCATTTTGTTTATGTGGATTTGATTTGATTTTGATTTAACGATAACCGAAATGATCAAGATGTTATAAGGAAAAAGAAGTTGTAAGATGTTATATATATATATATATATATATATATATATAACTCAAACATCAATCATATCTTAAATAAGTATAAAATGCATACATCAATCATATCTTAAATAAGTATAAAATGCATTCATACAGTAAAGGAAAATCGTCAAGTTAACAAACCACTGCATCATTAAAATAAGAACTGAAGCATGATTTTGAATGACATTAAGACCACACCAAAAAAAAAAAAAAATTGAAAAGTACTAGAAAATGTTGAATGGCATATGGCCACTTCCATATCTACCTTACCTTAAAATATTTCCAGAAGAACCACAGGAAAAATTAGTACAATAACATATTGTAAATCCAGCATTCAGAAAAGAGGTGTAGGCGTGTAGCAGTGTGGGGATATTCCACTAGTATGATCAGCCCAACACATTTAACAGTAATATAACAAGGCATATAGGCAGCAGAAAACAAAACCACCAATAATGAAAATCAAGTCAATGACACTAATCAAAGAAGCAAATCATGGTGAGAAAGTTCAAAGGAGAAAAGAAATAATGGTTGGGTAGTGCCAAGAAGAGCCATGGCGCTCTTTAATTGAATGGCTTAGAGAAAAATTGTCCCAAGATCCATATGAATCCTGTGTTACAGCTGGGGTCATTACTGAGATGGTGAAGACGGGTGTTCCAGATTCTGAATGGAAACTTGATTATTCAATTTTCTCTGATTGGCTAACTTCCATAGAGCATGTTGAGTTGTTTGACAAGACTGATTATCAGAGTGTGAGATGTGCCCAGATCAAGCCTATTGGTTCAGCTAAAGTGCGATAGAAAGGTGTTGAAGATAGAACAAGAGATACAGAGAGATTATTCTTGCATCAGGGAAGTATGGGTTTTTAGAGCATTCAATTCAAGTGGTCCTTGATTTGGAGTACTTGGAATATCCAATGTAACCTCCTAAGGGCTGGTAAGGGCAGGGAGTAATCGCCGGTACAAAAGAGGCATGGACAATGAGCGACTCATACCAAATCTTGCAGTTGGAGAATATATGAATGAATCGAATCAATATCTGAAAGAGAGGGATTCCAGAGACTATGCAGGTATAGGACTGTGAGTTGGGGATAGCTTATAAGAATTAATTGGTACTACCTATACTAACAAGATGCATCTATTTTTTAGTATCCTGAAACGAAAGAACTTCATAGTTAAGCGTGCTTAACTTGAAACAATTTTGGGATGAGTGACCTCATGGGAACTTCCCAGGAAGTGTGTGAGTGAGGACAAAGCATGCTGAAATGTCTCGTGTTAGTTTGTGGGACAATCATTGATCTTGCAAGCGGCCGGACGCTACATCCAACAACTAAGAAATTTGGGTCTCAAGTTGGGGAGAGACAGCATCTACGAGGCTGAAGGAATTATAAAGGTAAAGGAATTGGAGCGAATTATGTCCGATTATTTCCTTTCAACGCACTCAGTTAGCATTCAAAGTCCTATTATTCAATTGGAGCGAATTACAAAGGTAAAGGAATTATAACTCATAATTCAGCCAGAAGGGACAGCAAAGGAATTGTTTAACACAATCAAACCCTGGGTGGGTGCATAAGGAACACTAGGTGTGCAGTCTTGGTTTATTTTCTTCTTCTTCTCGGTTTAATGTTTGTCCTTGATCTTCTACGCCTACCTAGATCTGATTTCTTTTGGTAAATGTCACTAAATATTCACTCAATCAAAACCCGTTTTGATTCTTCCTGCAAACTACCCTAGAATTCATAAACATGAAACTGAAACACCTATCGCACAGTTACTATTCCCAGCACCCAATCAGTCACCAATCTAACCATAAAACCATCTCCTATTACCTCCCTTCAATCCACCTGTTCTCTACACGAGTTTCACCCTAGAAAACCCTAAGCCTTCAGCTGTTCTACAATCAAATCTCCATCACTCCCACAAAATCACATTTTGTTTCAGTGTACAACTAAATGTGTAAAAAGCAAAAGAACATAAACGATAATAATCATGACTTCTTAAACTTCGTATACATGTTTACCACAGTTGCAAGTATAAATTTTTTTTTCTTCTTCTAGAGTTAGCAACAAGTATCAATATCTTGACGACCAAGTGTGACTCTCTAATGGTAAATAACATGGCTCCATTCATGTAGGTCAAAACATGATATTAAAAAAACATAAGCAGCAAAGCAAGCACCATCAGCTGCTTTGAATCTTTACAATTATTTGTTAGTGCTCAAATTAGTGTGGTTCGGCTGATTTCATCAAGGTTATTTAAAAAACCATGAAATTATAATCATTATTATTTTAATTTTCTTAAAACCTAAGTGCACCGCAACCTAATTGCTTTGATTTCATTTGATCGGTAAACATTGCAATCGATTTTTCACTGTCATGCAATTGATTTTTTGAACTCGGTGATCAATTTCCCGAAAGAAAAAAAAAAAAAACGTTGAAGGAACCCGAATATTTGGTCCTTAATAGCAAAAGGAATAATATGCTGAATCAGATAAAGGAAACGAGAAAAACTCCGACAACATGTGGGGAAATTGTTTGACACAAGAAAACGAATAAGAAAGCTTCAAATAACAACACGATTTTTTCCCTCTGAACTCCGTTATGAAACAAAAATATCGGCACAGAACATGTGATGAAATTGAAAACGAAAAACATACAACAAAATTTTCGGGTCGAGACATGGCCATGGTACCTTTTTTGAGCTCGAGATTTAGGAATGCGTCTTGCCCTTCAACCTAATCCTCAACCACAATTTTTAATATACCCTGAATAATTTTGTAGCCGTCAAAATTTAATTTAATAGTATTTTACTTTCAATCCAACGACCCATATAATTATGCGGAACTACGTATTATTACTAAAACTTAATTTTAATAGATTTTAATTTGTTAGGACATATTTTCATATTAAATATTATTTTTAATTTATGTAATATATATTATTTTAATACTCGATAATTTAACAAAAAAAATTAAGTTAAATTTATAAAATCCATTAATTTTGTAAAAAAAACATAAGATAATTCAAATATTTATATTAAACTTAATAAAATGATAATCGTAATCCAATGAATCTAATAATTGAAACTAAAATTGTAACTTTTAAACCTTTTTTTGAATCTCCGTGTTAGAGTGTCGAGACGTCAGGATTTTTGAAGTATAAGTGATTGATAGTTGGTGATAAAATTTATATCCGCCCAAAATTATGTTTCACTAATCACCTTTACATTCCTAAAATTACCTGAGTGTATATTTGGATAACTAAATTCATGAGTCCAGAATTATTTATATAGAAAGTTTATGTCATTTCGGAGTTCATTTTGAGAGTATCAATATAAACATCAATAACACATTTTTTCAAATTAGTTAGGGCCAATTACAAATGAACCAAAATAAAAAGTATAAAAAGATTGAAGAAAAAGAAGATAAAAATAGAATTTTAAAAATATATATAACATTATCCATTAAAAACAACAATAAACAATTAAAAGAAAAAATAAAATAAAATAAAAATAAAGATACATAAGAGGTAAAAATAAAATAGAATAAAATTCATTTTGGGAGTATGCTTCTTCTTTTTTTTGAGAGGCTACAATCTACAATCGATTCTGTCCCCAAAGCAAAAGCAATTAATTTCACTTTTTAAGCCGAATAAATTGCCGTGAGAAATTTTGGGCATAAATTTTACTGACAAAGGAAGTCAACAATATTTTTTATTATCAAATCAGAATTTAAAGTGACAAAAACCAAATATAATGATAAAATGACTAATATATTTATTTGGTACAACCCATATTATGCAAACCAATAAAAAATTTGTCATTTACTTATCAAGACTTTTTATTCTTTGGTATGTACGAGGGATTGAACTCAAGGAATTAAATTCATATATGGACCTGAAGTTCTCTAGCACAAAAGAGTTATGGACCTGCAACTAGTTTACCCCGTGGGCCTCATTGGGAAAAAAAAATGAACTTTAAAATCCTTGAGAACAAAGAAAGGATTCGCACACTTTAACTGCAAACATGACAAATGAACCTATTTAAAATGGAGAAATTTCATTCTACATGACTCATCCGTAAGAGAAATTCTATACCGTAATATTCCTCGGGAACATTTTGAACCAGAACACTTTTCTTGCCCCCTAAACTAGCACCCTACATATTCCTATTCTAGCAAGTACCTATTCTAGCAAAATAGCAAGTTTTCTGATGCCACTCTCTCTAGTTTAGTGAGCAAAGAACCGCAAATTAGAGTTTAACCACGCCAGCTGATAGGCCTCTTTGCTTCAAAGGCTGCACCATCATTAAGCATGTCTTGTGCATCAGTTTCCATTCCCAGCTTCGAGAGAGCAAGAGCCTGCAAGTAGAATGCAGTTGGCCAATCAGGTATGCAAACTTGAGCCTGCATGGCATCCCTTAAAGCAAGTTCTGCTTGATCATTGATCAAGTACGAGAAAGCTCTCCTTGCATAGACAGTAGCCGATGGAACAGACATCATAGCCACCAACTGTATAGAGTTAAGAAATAAGAGACATTCATACTATGTTCAACTTTAGAAATTATAGTCATAATCATCAGTCATTAGACTAAAATTTACAGAACAAATTCTTAAAACAAAAAGTATACATATTTGACAGCAGGCTTTGATAACAGGATTTTTCTGGTGAACAGACTCGTTTCTTTGATTTAATGGGATAAGAAATGCAACGTTCTTCTTCAAGGATCATACTTATATTATAAAACTTGATAGAACAAATATTGTACTGCAATCCAAACAGAGGCCGAGCATGGAAAGAGAACTACACAAGAGCCCCCAATGAATCTTCGTTTAAAATATTCTATCGACTATGTACCAAAAAAAAAAAAAAAAATATTCTATCGACATTCAGACACTCAATCAGCCAAATACCAAAAAGTGAAAAAGTCTATCTACCTTTGAATAGTACTCAATTGCATTTTTGAAATCCTTGTCTCTAAATGCAATATCCCCAAACTTTTTTGTGTTCAAGATATCTTGCACTTGTTGTGTCCACTCTTGGAATGAAAGCTGCAATTAAATTCTTAGTGAATAGACAAGAGCAAGCACAAAAATGTTGGCAAAACAACCAGAACTTAAAAAGTCAGATCTACATTGTACAGTTTTGATAGGGCATCAGAAGTAAGAAACAATTCAACATCATGTACTGCAGAAACAGTACGCTATCTATTAATGCAAATCCAATGCAGCATGCTGTCAGGCGGGTTCCGGAGGAGCATGTGGCGGAAGACCACCACCAATAGGCTAAGGCTACACGACCATATCAAGTGGGTCCGACACCACATCTTAACCCAAAACCTTATGTCAGTGGGTTCATGGGTCCTCCCACTTATATCCACTTCACTTAGCCCATTACTAACCAATGTGGGACTCATAACACTTGGATACCCCAACGATCTCCCCCTTAAGAGTGTGAGACCCACCATTAGTATGCTCTCCCTCAACTGAGTACCCAGGGCCAAAGTACTCAACCCACCTCTAGCCAATCATCAGGCTAACTCGAGCCTAACACGGCTCTGATACCACTGTCAGGCGAGTTCCAGAGGAGCCGGTGGCGGAGGACCACCACCAATGGGCTAAAGCCACACCACCATATCAAGTGGGTCCGACACCATATCTTAACCCAAAATCTTAAGGCATTGAGTTCATGGGTCCTGCCACTTATATCCACTTCACTTAGCACATTACCTACCAATATGGGACTCATCACAATTGAATATCCCAACAATTTATTAACTAAATTGGGGGGGGGGGGGGGGGTTCGGTGGTGTGGATGGAAGGCTATTGAGTGATGGCGCGACGCAACAGAGGCAGACGGAGGAGACGAACAGAGAGCTTGCTGCAACAGGGCCCGCGGTGCTGTTCCGACAAGCAAATGCGAAGAAGCAAACACGAAGCGACTTGGTGCTTGAGGCTACATTAATGGTTTTATATATTTCTAACACACCCCCTCACACGATAATTATTAATTAAATGGGGGCAGTGAGGATCGAACCCGTGACACCGAGGCTCTGATACCATGTAAAGAATCAATTGATTCAACTCAGAAGCTTAAGTTGTTGGGTGAGGTTACATTAATGGTTTTATATTTCTCTAACACGCGTCCTCACACGAAACCCACTCGGCTTGAAAGGTGGAAAATGCGTAGACTTACCTACCTATGCTAATAAACTCCAAAAGACTTAATTAATTATTAATTAAATAGGAGGCGGTGAGAATTGAACCCGTGACATCGAGGCTCTGATACCTTATAAAGAACCAATTCAACCCAAAAACTTAAGTTGTTGGGTGACGGCCTTTTTAATGGTTTATACTATTCTCTAACACGCCCCTTCACACGAGAGCTCGTTGGGCTTGACGGTTAGATAATGCATCAAGCGCAGCCTACCTGTGCTAAAAAACTCCACAATATTTATTCGAATGGGGGGCGGTGAGGATCGAACTCATAACCACTTGGTCACTCCAACTCTGATACCATCATAAGAACCAATTCAATCCAAAAGCTTAAGCTGTTGTGTGAGGTTACATTAATGATTTATATTTTTCTAACACGCCCCCTCACACGAAAGCCTATTGGGTTTAAAGAGTGGACAATGCACAAACCCACCTACCTGTGCTAATAAACTCCACAAGACTTAATTAATTATTAATTAAATGGGAGGCGGTGAGGATTGAACCCGTGACACCGAGGCTTTGATACTAAGTAAAGAACTAATTCAATCCAAAAGCTTAAGCCATTGAGTGAGGGCCTTTTTAATGGTTTATACTATTCTCTAACATTAACAAAGTCATGCAACATTCAACATCAACATCACATTTATCCCAAACTAGTTAGAGTCGGTGGTAGATGAGCCCAAATGGAAAGTACGAAAGAAAAGAAAAAAAAAGGATAAACATAAAATTAAAAGAACTATAAATACCATTAGAAATGAAAACATAGCAATAATCAATTCAGAAGAAGAATAAAACAAAATAAAGTGAAAATAAAGATACATAAGAAAGAATTTTTTTATAGAAATAGAGAGATAAAAAGAAAGAAAAGAAGAAAAAAAATAGATTAATAAGAGAAGACAAAGAAAGAAGGAAGAAAGTGAAATAAAGGAAAGCAAAAAGGAATGCCTCAACCAAAGGCAAGCTAAAAACTCAGCTATAACTTTCAGGCTATATATTGGCAATGACTCAACCAAAGGCAAGCTAAAAACTCAGCTATAACTTTCAGGCTATATATTGGCAATGACTCGACCAAAGACACAAAAAAGAACAACTTAAATGAATGAAATATATATGCATCACACTTAACAAAATGCACCAACCTTGATGATTATCATAATCACATACCCCAATGAGAATATTGCTTGTCAGAAGTAACAAGTTAGACCCGTAAATTTGAAGGTAAAAATGTGGTGATTCGACATACCTCATTTTCTGCACCTTCTTCATCTTTATAACCTGTTTTTAACAATATATCATGCACAGCAGTAAGATCCATCCTTGCACAAGCCTTTCCAAGAGGAGAAAGCATAGTTGGCAGTACTGCTGTAGTTTTTGTAAGGCCCATCAAGACATGAGATGATACCTGGAAAAAGAGAGGGAAATTTAACAGGAGGAACGAAGACTAAAGAAGAAAGAGTTGGCAAAATCAGAAGATGAAATTGAATACAATTAAAACGAAGAGAAAAAAGACAGATGGTCAAAATTGAGAGCAAAATCAAAGCTAAAAACCTCTTTCTGATGCTGAAGAGGAGCAACTGCAGTAAGCAAAAACTTAATATCAGGCCGTTCTCTAGCCTCAAACTGAAGACATTTTGAAGCAAGCTCAACCAACTTTGTAGCGTCATCACTTGCGTATTGCCCTTCGAGGGATGAGTCCATCAAGAACAATGAATTTTTCCCTCTTATCAGATCCAGAGCCTGAATAACAAAATTCAATTTTGTTAACAACTTTCATACCTGATATAGCATATTCAATATCATGTGATTTTAACAACACAGCATGAATAGGCTCTGTATATAAAGTTGAGTTGTCAACATATTACAGATAATAATAGTCAGGATCATTCAGTTTTCTTATGCTATGTGATATTGAACCAGAAAACAATTTTACTTCTCACACAGGGAGGTCTAAAGAGATAATAAACTTTTTACAGATATGTGTTTGGTGTAATTTATCAAAAACAGTGATACTTACATGCTCTTGATAAATTATATGATTCAATTGAAATCTGAATAAATCCAGAAAATGTAAGGTAAATATACAACACCTAGCCCAGAATAAAGGAAAAATTCTTGTTACTCAACACATTAACATCTTCAAGGGAATTTGTAAGAATGGCAACATACATGGCTTGGAGGAATATGCTTGCCACTCAAAAGATCCAGAAGAATGGTTCCATAACTGTAGATCACACTCTCTGGGATAACCCTGCCTGCAAATGTTGTTAAGTACTATATATGTTGTCATTAATAGTATTGAGTGATACTACTGAAGAGAGAGTGCTGGCAAGTATTATACCCGTTCGCAAAAACTCAGGTGGAGTATAAGCTAAGTTAGTACTATAGCTTTTTCCATCTCGACTATTTTTCATAAGCCCAAAACTTGACAAATGGGGATCACCATCCTGACATTAGAGAACAAATTAGTAACAAGTCAGTTTCAGAGGAGTAATTTAGATATTTCCTGACGAATGAATAATGTTCATATCCTGTATATGCAAGTTTATGTCTAAAATGGCAATTAGAGATCCCCTAGGATCTGGAGGGGAAAATGACAGTGAGAGTATCAAGTTCAAACAACCAAGAGCAGAACTAAAGAAAAAATACAGGATAGAGATAACTAGATAGAAAAAATGCATTTGCGCAGATTGTATTTCATGACAAACACTAAGTATGGTAACATAATATACCAAACAAACGACTGAGTTCATAATGATAGATTCACACATCACACCTCATCAAAAAGAATCCTGTATGCATTCAAATCATGATATATTTTCCTGTTTTCCACGCTACAATGATCTAGTGCCTGTGCAACATGGTATGCAATTCTAAGACGCATTTCCCATGGTAATGGCTGCTTGTCCCCTAGGACAAAGAATCACAAAGTCAGCAAGTACAAAAAACATTGAATGATATATAAAAATTCACATAAAGATCAAAAGTTATGCGACGAATTATCAAAATCTCATCAACAAGATAAAAAAGGAGATGATATTGCTTCCTTATTACTCATTAAATGCTTGCTCTTTGTTTATATTTCTCCTCTCTTCTCTTTTCAATCAATAAAGTTATGACTAGAACAAGCAAAGAAAAAGCTTTCCCAAAATATAGTATGAGAAAGGACACTTTATAGGGTGCTAGTAATTTCAGTCACCTTATATCCTCTTACAAATTTCCACTCGGTCATTTATATTTATACAGCCCTGCCGTAAGATATTCGTGGTGAAAACTACTTGCAATATTTGGTGAATGTCAGGTTATTCCAGAGAGCATGGAGCATTTTCTTATATATCAATTTAGATGAGCATTCAGCACAGTGCCCAAGGGCTTTCTAAGATTTATGTGTAATGTAGATGGCAACTAACAGAACAACTAAACGAGATATGAATAGAGTTACCCGCATATAAAGCCAAGCTAGTACAAGAAATGAAATTGTTCACTTAGGTCATGCTTGGTTGGATGAATATGAGCATGTGAAAAATGGCAATGTATCTAGACTTTATAGTGTCCAAACACATTGTCTTTCCGCGATTCTCATTTTTTAAGTGCCCATTTCACTCCAACCAAACATAGCCTTAAAGCATTAAATTGTAAAACGTAAAAATGGAACAACAGCTAAAATAAATTGAAAAGGCAACATTTATATCAGAAAGATCAAGCTAGCATATCTTGCTTATTAAATGATCCCCAAGCCTCCTCGAACAAAAGAAAAACTATGGTCAAAACTCAAAAGTAGAAGTAAGGAGTTATAATTAATGACTGGAGAAGAAACAGAAAAAAGAGGAGAGAGTATTAGTATTGACTAAAAAGGAGTACAATGAAAAAGGTGTTTGGAGAGAGTATCATTTGGCATGTAGTCAGCAACCAAGAGGCGTTCATCTCCCTCAGCACAAGAACCAATTAGATTTACAAGTCTCTTGTGCCTCACTTTCCCAACTCCAGCTGCCTCTGCCTAACCAATCAAAACTATTAATTCAAAAACAAACCTAAAGAGAAAAAAAGAAAAAGCAGTGAATTTTCCATTGTCTCTCACCAGAAACTGTTGAGCATCAGGCCAAGAGAGTTTGGAGAAGCGCTTAACAGCAACTAAGCGATTGTTGTCGAGTTTGCCTCTGTAGACGACATTGGGAGCTTTGTCACCACTCTCGGAGACAATGTAATGTGTGCTGAACTCATTGGTTGCCCTTCGAAGTTCATTCAGAGCGTACTCTTTGAACACTGGAACTTGGCATACTTCATCAACATCATCCCCATTACCTTAATCAAACAAATAATAATAATAATAATAATAATAATAAAAAAAAGGTAAGGACGTTGGTGAGTAATATGATATGTATAATAATAATAATAATAAAAGGTGGAGAATGGAGAGAAAGAGAACCTGGATCGGGTTTGTGAGGAGAGGGTGGGTCGTGAAGAGATTGAAGAAGTGGGGTTTTGGAGTGGAAGCAACCCATTGATTGATGACGCTCTTATGTTTATGTTTATGTTTATGACTTTATGACTTAGTCTGCTGCTGTGCTGTCCTGTCCAACCAAAATAAAAACACCGGGGAAGCTACTACGAGTCCCAAATGTTGAGGTTTCCCACGTGGCAAGTCACGTGACATTAAATCAAACTCCTCGCCTCAGGTCGGAATCATTTCAGGCTTACAGCAATTCATTCCTTCACCACATTGCCTTCCTCTCCCCTCCTCTCTTCAACACTAACCAATGTTATTAAACTCACCCTTGCTATCGATTTAGGAGTATTAGGTCATTCGTCAGATCAGCGAGTTATTACTCGGATCAGTTGATCCAAATATATATAAAAATAAATATATAAATTTAATTATATTTTTCATATTTAAAATGAGTTGAATAAGGTTCGTTAAATAAGTTTAAAAATTATTCAATACGACGTCATTTTGGTATGAAAATCATAGTATTTTAGTAATTTTAATTTATTTCAGGGTTATTATAGTCTTTATAATTATAATTTTCTAATCTTTCAATCTCAAAACGACATCGTTTTGAAAGTAAATGTAGATAACTTATCTACATTAACTGCAGAAATATTTTTTTGATAAATAAAAATACACATTATTACTATGTCAATTTAAATTGCAACTCAGAATCTCTATAAGCATACCTTTTAGTAACATTCAAAAGGCTATATGATGTGAATTAATATTTTTTAAATTCATCTACATTGAAATGACATATTTCAAATTCTCTTAATTTGTTGTTCTGCAAATTGCTTCAATATTGAAAGTTGAGATCATTGTAAAAGAGTATACTACTAGCAAATAAAATTATAAAAAAAATTAAAATGAGTTCTACATTTTTTTCTGACAAGATGAAACAATTTTGATTTTTGTTTTTTTTATATATATAAAAATGCATGATCCGACCCGGTCATCGGTTTTGGCCGATTTTGATAAGGTCTGATGCTTGACTCGAACCGGTCGGGCCGGGTTTCATAATACTAACATTAACAATCAATTTCACGGGAAAAAAATTAAAATATTGTTGTTTTAATAAAAAAAATTACTCAAATATAATTATTTTGAACTAATTTACGGATCTATTACACTCGTTCACGTCCAAATTGGGCTAGACCATTCCCACCCAGCCCAAGCGGGAATCCCCAGTCATTCACGCCTCATCCTGGCGTGAATGGATGCTACATAAATACCCTAAAAAATTTCACTTTTTCCTTTCACACAATCTCTCTACCTTATTTCTAAGATTTTGCTCTGACTTCTCTCTAGATTCTTCTTGATTGTTTTGCGCAGCGAAGCTCTGCTAACCAAATAAGTCTTATTATCTGGTTTCTCTATTTTTTAAATACATCAATAGATATGTTATACTAGTGACCTACGAATATGTTAGTGAGTTAGGAAATTGTTAATGTCCTAGGAATATGTTAGCGACATAAGAATTTATTTGTGACTTAGAAAATTGTTAGTGATTTAGGAAAATTATAGAGAATTATAATATATGGGTGCATAATTTCTTGGAAAAAAATGTACATGTAATTTAATATATTTTTTAAATCTCGTATTGGACATGTAAGTTATTTGAAAATGAAATTAATTATAATAATCAATTTGTAATTTTGTATATATGTATAGTACATTATTATGGCTCACTTGTCATCATCCGAGTCACCTCAGCCTACATCCGATCACGAGCCTGAGCCTTAGGATCCCACCGCACACGTGCTTTCAAGACCATATAGGTGGGAAGTACTTCGGAGGCGAACACAACGCGCTCACGTTTCGCAGACAGTGTGGAACAAGGACAAGGTTCGCGCACTGAAGACTAGACACGACAGGGTGCAGGGGGGACTAGCTCCTGACGATATTTTCAACATTGTCGCAAAGTACCTTTCGCAGGCTGGCTTCATACATGTCACACGCATGCGACATATTCAGGTGACCATATTCATGTCGCACTAATGTATTGTGATTCGCATCATATTCTTGCCATGACCAGATTGATAAGTTACTTACCTTTGAGAGCTATTTTTTGATGCAATTCACTAACTATTGAGTTGCGTTTGATGTGTGTTGGCCTTTTCTCGCATTTAAAAATTACACCATGTCGACCTTCCACTTTCCTACCATTATAATATAGAACAACACGAACATAAATAGAATGTGAACTCATTCTTAAATATATAAAAAAAAACACAAAACACAAAACAAAGTATGAATAAGCAAGTGACATGGTATGAAAGAGTAAGAGTTTATGATGGAAAAGAGTTGTGAGAATGTGGAGAGAAGAGGTATTTAAATAAGGGAAAAATATTTCTCTAGTCACTGGACATAAAGTTATCTCCAGTGAGCTCAAAACGACGTCGTTTTGGGGTTATAAGATTAAAAAATTATAATGACAAAGATTAATATAACCATGCAATATACTAGAATTACAAAAATACCTTGATTTTTATCCCAAAATGACGTCATTTTGGGCTCACCGGAGATAACTTATCTCCATTGACTGGAGAAATCCTTTATCCTTTAAATAAAGAGGAAGTTGGTCAATCGTGCCCAAAGCATGATAGGGCTCTACGTCGCACCCAAAGTAGGCATGGTAGCCCACCCATTCACGCCCGGAAGCGGTCACGCCCAAATGAGGTGTGAATGAGTGCAATAAATCCGTAAATTGGTTCCAAACAACTATATTTTCATAATTTTTTATTAAAACAACAATATTTTAGTTTTTTCCCTTAATTTCACACAATTTAAATATATACATAGGGGCAGCCGGCGGCAACATCTTACATGGTTGTAAAAGTAATAAGTCTTACGTCAAATTTTAATAGTATTTTTCCCCTTCATTTCTCCCTCTTCTTCTTTTTCCTTTATTTTTTTACTTATATATATATATATATATATATATTATTCTATTTTTTTATTTTTATTTTTACTTTTCTTTTTATTTTTTTCAACATTTTTGTATCTTTTATTTGGGTTCATCTACCACCCACCACAATTAATTTGGGATAAATGTATTGTTGATGTTAATGTTGATTTTTGTGCATCTAACGGTTAAGATTTATTAAGTCTCATTCATTCATTAATTATTAATTTCTAATAAATCTCAACCGTTAGATGCATGAAAATTAACTGTTAAGACTTATTTATTAAGACTTATTATTCTTATACAGGTATAAGTTGACCCTAATAAATATATATATATATATATTTAGGGTTTGATGTTTGGCATTTAAAATGATATAATTTTATGTCATTTAAAATAAAAATACTTTTTCCTTATATATATATATCTTACAATTCTTAAATTATTTTCTGAAATAATATGATTATATTAAGTTTAGGGACACGATTTATCACACGATAGAACATGGTCAGTTCAACTTGACTCAGCAATTAGACTCACGTCTTCTGAGACTAGTGCCATGAACTAAGTCAGCGAAATTTACATGCTTTTAGCACGTGGCAAAACGTTTACAATATTGGGGTTGATGCCATAAACTCAGTCAACAAAGCTCATGTCCTTGTATTAGTTAACAAAACGTATCCCGTGAACACAATAGTAAAATTAGAGGCGGTATTTACAAAAAAAATAAATAAATAAATTAGAGGCGGTAAAGTGTTTTATCTGATTTGTCTATGCCCGCCAAAAAATAAGTTAAAAAACTCAATCCATCTCATCTCATTTAACGGGTTAAGCAGGTTAACTCATCAAGCCAAACTCATTTTGTCGACCCTAAGTAAAACCTTGTGCCATTTTGGTAGTTACCCCTTACAATTAAATGGAATGCTACTTGTCATAATTTTTTTTAATTCTACAAAATTTCAGACAAAGTATCTGTGCTTTTTATTTTTCAACAAACAAAGTGTTATACCGGTCTACTTTCCCTACTTTCCTGTTAAAAAATAATAAATAAATACTGTGATACATTTTTTTTAAAATAAAAATAAAAATTATCAAATGATAAATTTTTATTATTCAATGTATAAAATAAAACAAAAAATTTATCATTTAAAAAAACATTATTTTAATGATTACGAGAAGCATAAGAAAATTTTCCCCGTTATAGTAAAAATACGAGGGGATATGATTACCAAAAAAAAATAAAAAATACGAGGGGATAGATAATTGTTTAACAAATATGGGGACAAAATAAGAAATGGATTACCCATTATGTATATATTCCTGAAATACATATTTTTTATTAAATATTTTATACATTTTTTTATTTTTTCGGAGATAAAATTACATTTTTTATTATTCAACAACAAAAATTTGTAAGAAACGAGTTTATAATAATAAAGTTATATGAAAAAATATAGTCATTTGCATAATTATTTATTGATATTGATACTACAAAGTACGATTAAGTTTGATATATTATTTCAGGATACCAAAAAAAAAGTTTGATATATTATTTCTGATTTTTTTTAATCTTGTGAGTATTTCCAATCATTTGACAAAATTAATATATGAAATCTCAAGGGTAGTTCTGTTGGCAATTGAGTTCCCAATGATTTGCTTTGGTCAATGATTCAAACCCTGATCAAAATAAATTTTGAAAAAAATCTTTTGGAGTCATAAGATATGCCTCTTTTCTCGAGGTACGGTGGCCATATATAATTTAGGTTCAAACCCTAAATTAATATATGATGTTAACGTTTACTTCATTTGCATATATTTTTTATGATCTTTTGTAATTTTATTTTAAATTACGAAGTACTTTCAAATTTCAATATCCATAAATACCTACAATGGAAATTAGAGCATCCACCCCTCTTCTACACGCAAATTAAACATTCCTACATACTGATTATGCTAACTCGGTTTTTAACTTTATATTCAACTATTTTAAAGACAGAACATTTCAGTATAAAAAAATGACAGTATATTTTAATCAAATTAGTAAGTATTCTGTATAATGTATGGTTCTTTTTAAATTTAAGTAAAATAAAAAGAATTAAAAAAGTGTTAAATTATAAAAAAAATAGATATGAATAGTTAATTCTAGTAAAA